GAAAATATCATTGAGTAAATTGTAGTGCTGATTGTTTTAAGTAATTGATATTGCTATTATATCACACTAAGCAACGGGGCGTATGAGTAACTACTTCTAATTGTTTCCAATACACGAATGATATGTAATCAAACTGGCAGTTAAGCCGATTATGAAAGAAATATTGAACGAAATGCGCATATAGTTAGTGAAATGCGATTAAAAATTCGAAATTATTTTATGCTGTAAAAAGTATAAATATTAAAAAAAAATAAAAATAAAAAACAAGGAATATAAAAATTAAAATCCAAATTTTTTTTTTTTTCAAAACAAGCACTTGTTTTTTGCTTTGTTCTTATTACTATTACATCAAGTAAATTTTAATTTTTTTTTTTTATTAATAATAACTTTAATATATATAATTAAGCGCCGAAATGTAGGCAACACTTTCAACATAATTTGGAAAAAAATTTAAAAATCATCAAATACTGCTTTAACGTTTTTTGTGCATCTCTTCATACTATATATTTAAGAGACCAGAAAATTTATGAAATAACCAGTTTTATTATTAACTTTCTTCTCTCCCGAATTGGCTTGAACTTTGTGAGAAAAGCTGCATCTTCTAAAATGCCATCATTACATTTCGAAAATTTCGGCTTTGATGTCACTTGCAACTTCTGCTCAGTCTGCATTTTGCCAGCAAAAAAATTATATAGCAAATATTGTTTGATAAAATATTTGCGCTCATTAAAACTGTAGAAAAAATAGCCCGGAAACATGAGAAAAACAAACCATTGAAAATGAAATTTAGGACGATAAACTAAGAGAAAACTATTTGGCTGCAAGACGAAGAGGAAGCATCACTTCAAATACTAACAATAAACAGCAGCAGTTACGTCACGCTAACACGAATGACGACTGGCGCTAGGACAACAAAACAACAACAACAAAAATACTCAACAACAGAAAGAAAATATAACGCAAGCTAATAAAAAGTGTTTGCCTGCGCTTTCAATGCGCGTGTGGCAAAAACAAATTGTCGCCAGCATTTATTTGGGCGGCGCTTTCGCATATGTCCAGTTATTGCTTTATTCTACTCATCACGTGTATATATACATATATAGTATATATGTATTTGACTTTTATATATCTGCAGTGGCAGTCTTCAAGCCACTGCTCCGGCGCTTCTTTAAATTTGGCCTAAAAATTACTAAAGTATACTTTGAGGCGCCGCAACATTGCAACATTTGCCAACTGGCCAGAGCGCAACCAGCACACACCATAAAATATGGTGTACTTGCACTCCTTTCAACGGAAATGTGCAGGAAACCAGCCGCGAACTTCGCTATACTTACAACAACAAAAGGTTGTTTTTGTTACCTAGCAAAGCCATAGCAGGCGCCACCACACATCAGGCTGAAAAGTGCAATTTGTTCTTTTATGGCGTTGACATGGCGGACTCGAAGTCTTCTTGCATAAAACCACTAGGCATACGAGTATCTCTAATATGATGAAATAATAATACAAAAAAATAATATTAGTAGCAAATGTCATTTTCTTGTTTTACAACTCGTATGTAGACAATTGTCAATAATAATAAATTAATATGGCAATTATGTCATTTATTATTAATGAAATTTGCATTGCATCACCTCTTTGTATATATCGCACATATATGTACATATGTGTGTGTGTGCTTTGTATTAGCCTAATTTGTGTCAGCGCTTTGTTTGGCAACGACTTTTCTATGCGCTCATTGATAAATTTTGATTGCGATTTTGCAATTCACGACAAACAATTCAAATTAAACTATATGCAATATGCCTATGTATTTGGTGGTATTTTAATAAATTATTACAACGGAATTTATGAATATAATTTATAATTAGCCGCCGTCAGGCAGTTATGCAATTTGGCTAATTCATTTGGTAATTAAAGCAAAGGCAGCATTTAATTTAATGTTTGTACAAAAGAATATAAATTATCTGTTTTGCAAGCACCTGGCCTTATTGTTCATTGCGTGTTAACGTCTAATTAATTTTTGAATGGTCTTATTTTTCCAAATCAAAAAAAAAGATTAGTGGCATTTTTTAAAGAAACCAACATATATTTGATATACTTTTGTAAGTGAGTTTTAAAATTTAAAAATATTTTTTCTACTATAACTTCGTTTAGCATGGTGACGTGAAAAGTTGTCTTATTATGGATAAGTCATTCAAAGCTTGTGGAATTAGGTGTGTGACTTTGACATGTCAGTTTGGTAATGCTCCCAATGTAGGAAACAATTTAGTTATAATATAAAATGTTTAATATTTTGGTAACTAAAATTACCTAAAATTTGAATAATTTTCTTATTATCGCCATTTTTAATTAAAATCTCTAAGTCTTTTAACTATTCAATAGAGTGAATATTTTATTTACGAATAAATGCAAAAACGTGTTTGTCAGTATAAGCATCCAAGGGATGGTACTTGCGGTTTAATTTTTAATATAAATTAATTTTGGAAAAAAATGAATTTAAGGCTAGTTACCAGCTCTTCTATCCAGTTAATAGATTGTGCTTAGTGTCCTGCTAAAAGAGGGCCTATTTAATAGAGCTTTCAGTGTATTTCTAATTTATGATTTTTTTTTACTATCCTATCTGCTAAGTTGGTACAAACTGAACATAGTCTGATAAATTTTACTGAAATCAGTTCAGTAGCTTAGAAGCCCATCGTAGCAACATAATTTTTATACATATATAAAGATCTTCGCCATTGTTATTTAAAAGCCGAAAGTCTCTTCAAGTTATTAGAATATACCAGTAGCTTCTTTTTAATATATTCATATTGTTGGCGGAAAACTTAGATACATTTTGCGAATTACCAAAAAAAAAATGTAAATAAGACACTCATAAGATATAAATAAATTATGTAAGTAAAAAGAGATAAAAGCTTGTGGAATTAGGTGCGTGACTTTGATATGTCAGTTTGGTAGTGATCATAAATGTAGGCAAGCATTTGGTTAAAAGGCCAACTTTTTAATATTATATTTTGGATTTTATAAAGTCCTTAAACTTAGATATTTATATTTAGAAAATTCGGCGAAAACTAAGAACACTTTTACAATGCCGTAAGAGTGTAGGTGAACATCTCCATCTTTTTATACATGTCTTTGGGTACTTCGAGCATCACAAACCAATGCTAACAAATATTTTTAACTCAGTATTTTATTGCATTATTGATCCTTATTTGATCCACTCAACTCGTCAACCGAACGAGGTAAACAACAAAAAATTACAAATCATTTATATGGGTTATCTATTTATCTATAACTAAATTACAACAAAAGAATATTAGTATGGTATTACGGCTTGCAGAAAAGTGAAAGACGGAGAGAAATTTAAAAAAAATTTTGCGCCATTATTCAACATTTTTAGTGAATCAAATAAGAATTATATAAATTAAATTTACTTTTTCCTTATTTTTTAATACATACATACATATGTTTATATTATCAATGCAGATCTATTCCAAATTAGCTTAATTTTACCGTAAAATGGAAGCCAAAAAAACGTTGAAATTTATTCATGAAATTATTTCGTTATATTTCTGAATTATAAATTTGAAACATGCTTGCTAATAAACACTATTTATGCATAAACGCGTATATTTTTGAAAAAAGGCAAAATTAAAACACTGCAAAAACAAATCGAGTTATTATGTAGGTCAACTCATTGCATAACAAAAAGCAGCAGAAGAGAAGAGCAGCGTTGACGTCAGCACTATGTATGGGTATGCTGATAAAGATTACTTGACAACTAGTTATAAGTTACCTTACAACTAGTAAAGTATAAGTTTCTTTACAACGAGTTATACATTACTTTAGAACTAGTTATAAATTACTTCACAACTGTATATACGTGAACTAGTTACTCAATTTATGAGATATCTATCTGAAACTCTGCAAACGTCATTCTCTCCTTAAGAAGCTGCTTATTTGTTGAGTCCAGCCATATCGCACAACTATAGCATGTAGCTGTCATACTAACTCATCGATGAWAACCAGTACTTGTATAGAAAACTTTTGTATTTGGTGGGATATCTGCACGAAATTTGACAGAGATTATTTTTGAAACCAACCCCATAATCTCCGCGTAAATTAATTTTTGTGCGACAAATTTATTTGTTG